CACTATGAATGCCACCTTGAGCTCCTATACAGGCAAGATAAAAATCTAATCAACAATCACATGAGTAAGGGAAATGATGAGTTGTATATAGGTCCCATAAGAAGTACAAGGTGAGGCAGTACAGAATTGTACCCGGTGGAATATGAATACATACAGGCAATATTACTGCATGTTTGAATGATGAATACTACTTCTGTGTTTAAAGTTAGGAATTCAAAAGAGAAATAACCTCATGTAGGAGAGAAAAAAATCATGCTGGCCTGGCTAAATATGTCTGTAGTTTGACAATTTAATAATTTTCAGGATGGCTACTCAATTAATTTCTGTGTCCTAATTGTGTGTGTGTGTTGTGTGTGTGTGTGCGTGAGAGAGAGAGAGAGAGAGAGAGAGAGAGAGAGAGAGAGAGAGAGAGAGAGAGAGAGAGAGGGAGAGAGAGAGAGAGAGGAAGAGAGACAGACAAACAGACAGACACAGACACACAGAGAGACACACAGAGACAGAGACTGACTATCACACTGGCAGTGCACTGGAACAGTTCACCAACCTTTACAGATTTAGTCACTAGGTTGCATAGGAAATCCATGAAACCCAAATCTTTGTGGCAGTGTGTAATCAAAGTTCCTCGTGCAAGAGGGACTCCTGGTTTCTATGAGAGTGTGAGAGCCAAAAAGAAGAAAGATAAATAAATATGTTCCTCAACCTTAGCATCTTTCAGATGTGCAAGTCTTCAGATCCCAGAATTCCCCAATCAGCATATGTTGGAGAATTCTGGGAGTTGAAGTCCACATATCTTGAAGTTGCTAAACTGAACTAGATAATCAATTTTAAAAACAGAGATACAGCTCATGATATTTAATTCAGAAATTCAAAGTTAATTTAAGCACATATATTTTCCAAACCAAAGTTATTTTTTCTATGCTTTTACCCATACATTCATATACTCAGAAACAATCCTATGCTTTTTATATGAAATTGGAACTAATAGCTTGTATTTATACATATTATTCCAAAAGTATTTACTTACACATTTTACTTCACGTATAAATGTACAATACGTATCAGGAGACAGAAAATCCAAAAATTAGTTTAAAGAAACCTCAGATTCAAAGTGCCAGCAATGAAGATCACTGGGTACCCTATCTCAAATAACTGTCCTAAATTTTTTATTTTACAGAGTGATATGTCTCAGCATATATAGTATGCTGCTATGATCTGTTAAAACACAGTAATAATGATTACTAATAAATAATTCAGTCACAAATTAAAAATATAAGTGGGAATATTTTTACTTGAAAAACTGTCAATTGAATGGTCAGCAATCATAAAACATTGAACATAAAAAAGATTTATAAAGCAGAAAACAAAACAAGAAAGTATCTATAAGAACAATGATCCAAATCAATAGATTTCAAATTGATTTGTTGTAGTATACTTTGTATTTAAGGAAAAATATCTAATAAACAAAAGAGACAGGCACACAAGTACAAATGCTTCACAGAAATACTATATAATGCGCAACAGCATTATATATAGGTGACTTCATATATTGCCTTTCACTACTTTACCTGAATTGGATGCAACCAATGCCATTTATGAGTTGAGTCGCTAATTTTTAAAAGTTGAATAACTCGCACAAACAACTTTGTCTCATGGTAGGGCAATACACAGCCAATCAAACTGTCTTGATTATACAAATGAATATGAAACCTACATCAGAACACACAATTAGATAAAGAGGTTATGATGTTAGATAATTATGGACCTAATATGATATAATCTATGATACTGAACTGCTAAACCTTCATCTTTGCACTGGTATTTTTCTCCTTAAAATCCTTTAAAATAGTTCTGGAGCCCTGATGGGCTGGGTTTTTTTTTTTTAATTTAAGAGAACTTGGTGAGTAGAGGCCACTTGCCTCGTGAGAATTAAAACTAGGAGGATAGGTAAAGTCGTTGGTGAGAAACACAGAGTATATGATGTGCAAGAACATTTCAATTTAATAAATAGGAATGGGAAGATTAGAAAAGAAGAAAAAAACATGAGGAGAAAAATACTTTGGAACCAGTTTGGCTTGATGGAGAAAGGAAATGCTATTCTTAACTACACTCATGATGAAATATCACCAAATCCAAAAACTGGGCCATACATAATAGGTGTTTACAGTGGTTCCCAGTACTATTTCCTAAATCAACATACCCTGGGAATGCTCTGAGAGGCTTGAATCTATGGACGTCCACGCAACAAGCAGTAAGATATCAGAGAAGCATGAATAAATTACCTGTGAATCAGCCACTCAAGGCACTTCTGTGCTGGCTTAAGCATGAAATATGGAGACAAGTGAATCAGGAACAATGAAATATTTTGATCTAGCTGCTGGTTTACTGCTTTAGTTTGGACACTGCGTTCCAAACCTTTAGATATTTGACTGAAAAGGGTTGTCTCAAATATCTCAAAGGACGGATCAATCCCAATCAGCTCTTCCAGGCCAGTGCACCCTGTGAAAGTTATCAAAATAGTTTTACCAATTAACAGAGTTTTTTATTCTAACATTTCTTGGAAATGAAGTTGTGTGGATGACATAATTCTAACACATAAACTTAAAAGAACTGCAGGTTGACATAACTAAGCTTACAAATCAGGTCCTATTTAATTATCAAAACGCAGAACAAATCTAGAGCTGCCCAAACTACTATTATATTAAATTTATAATTTTAATATACTAGGAACTTACCTATAAAGATTTAACTCATATATATTTATTAAGCTTACTACATAATGTTATCTTCTCTGAAAACCAAGTATTTTTCAATCAATAACCTCGTACAGACCACAAGCTTATTATAAATTGCTATTTACAGAATACTCTTTATGGATTACTGCCTTGTCGTGGCGAAGGGGCTTGCCTAACTCAATGAAGCTATAAGCTATGCCGTGCAGGGCCACCCAAGATGGACAGGTTATAGCAGAGAGTTCTGACAAAATGTGATCCACTGGAAAAGGAAATGGCAAACCACTCCAGTATCTTTGCCATGAAAACCCTATGGACAGTACTAAAAGGAAAAAAGATATGACGCTGGAAGATGAGCCCCTCAGGTCAGAAGGTGTCCAATATGCTACTGGGGAAGAGCAGAGGGCTAGTACTAGTAGCGCCAGAAAGAATGAAGCGACCGGGCCAAAGCCGAAAGGACGCTCAGCTGTGGATATATCTGGTGGTGAAAGGAAAGTCCGATGCTGTAAAGATTTTTTCTCCATAGGAACCTGGAATGTAAGATCCATGAATCAAGGCAAGCTAGACGTAGTCAAAAAAGAGATGACAAGACTGAACATCGACATCTTAGGAATCAGCGAACTAAAATGGACAGGAATGGATGAATTTAACTCAGATGACCATCAGGTATACTACTGTGGGCAAGAATCCCTCAGAGGAAATGGAGTAGCCTTCATAGTCAATAAAAGAATAGGAAAAGCAATACTGGGATACAATCCCCAAAAGGACAGAATGATCTCAATTCGAATCCAAGGCAAACCATTCAATATCACAGTAGTCCAAATCTATGCCCCAACCACTGGTGCTGAAGAGGATGAAATTGACCAGTTTTATGAAGCCCTACAGCACCTTATAGAATTAACACCAAAAAATGATGTCCTTATCATCATGGGGGATTGGAATGCTAAGGTAGGAAGCCAAAAAATAACCGGAATAACAGGCAAGTTTGGCCTTGGAGTACAAAATGAAGCAGGGCACAGGCTAATAGAATTTTCTCAAGAGAATAGGATGGTCATAACAAACACTCTTTTCCAACAACCCAAGAGACGGCTCTACACATGGACATCACCAGACGGTCAACATAGAAATCAGATTGACTATGTGCTCTGCAGCCAAAGATGGAGAAGCTCTATACAGTCAGTAAACACAAGACCAGGAGCTGACTGTGGCTCAGATCATGAGCTTCTCGTTGCAAAATTTAGGCTTAAATTGAAAAAAGTAGGGAAAAGCACTAGGCCACTCAGGTATGAACTAAATCATATTCCTGATGAATATACAGTAGAGGTGACAAATAGATTTAAAAAATTAGATCTGATAGACAGAGTGCCTGAAGAATTATGGATGGAAGTTCGCAACATTGTACAAGAGGTAGCAACTAAAATCATCCCAAAGAAAAAGAAATGCAGAAAGCAAAATGGCTGTCTGAGGAAGTTTTGCAAATAGCTGAGGAAAGAAGGGAAGTGAAAGGCAAAGGAGAAAGAGAAAGATACACCCAATTGAATGCAGAATTCCAGAGAGTAGCTAGAAGAGATAAGAATGCCTTCTTAAATGAACAGTGCAAAGAAATAGAAGAAAACAACAGAATAGGGAGGACCAGAGATCTCTTCAAGAAAATTGGAGATATGAAGGGAACGTTTCATGCAAAGATGGGCATGATAAAGGACCAAAATGGCAGAGACCTAACAGAGGCAGAAGAGATTAAGAAGAGATGGCAAAACTACACAGAAGAACTATACAAGAATGAGCTTAACATCCCAGATAACCACAATGAGATGGTCACTGACCTCGAACCAGACATCCTAGAATGTGAAGTGAAATGGGCCTTAGAAAATCTGAGCAACAACAAAGCTAGTGGAGGTGACAGTATTCCAGCTGAGCTATTCAAAATCTTAAAAGACGATGCAGTAAAAGTGCTACACTCAATTTGCCAGCAAATTTGGAAAACTCAACAGTGGCCACAGGATTGGAAAAGGTCAGTTTACATTCCAATTCCAAAGAAAGGCAATGCCAAAGAATGTTCAAACTATCGCACCATTGCACTCATTTCACATGCTAGTAAAGTTATGCTTAAAATCCTACAAGCTAGACTCCAGCAGTATGTGGATCGAGAACTACCAGAAGTACAGGCAGGATTTCGAAGAGGCAGAGGAACTAGAGATCAAATTGCCAACATACGCTGGATCATGGAGAAAGCTAGGGAGTTCCAGAAAAACATCTACTTCTGCTTCATTGACTATGCAAAAGCCTTTGATTGTGTGGATCACAACAAATTGTGGCAAGTTCTTAAAGAGATGGGAGTACCAGACCATCTCATTTGTCTCTTGAGAAACCTATATGCGGGTCAAGAAGCAACAGTGAGAACTGGACACGGAACCACTGATTGGTTCAAAATTGGAAAAGGAGTCCGGCAAGGCTGTATACTGTCGCCCTGCCTATTTAACTTATATGCAGAGCACATCATGAGAAAGGCAGAGCTAGATGAATCAAAAGTTGGAATTAAGATTGCCGGGAGAAATATCAACAACCTAAGATATGCAGATGATACCACTCTAATGGCAGAAAGTGAAGAGGAACTAAAGAGCCTCTTGATGCGGGTGAAGAAGGAGAGTGCAAAAGTTGGCTTGAAACTCAACATTAAGAAAACCAAAATCATGGCATCCGGCCCTCTCAATTCCTGGCAAATAGATGGGGAAGAAATGGAGGTAGTGACAGATTTTATTTTTCTGGGCTCCAAGATCACCTCAGATGGGGACTGCAGCCAAGAAATTAAAAGACGCTTGCTCCTGGGGAGGAAAGCTATGGCAAATCTAGACAGCATACTAAAAAGCAGAGACATCACCCTGCCAACAAAAGTGCGTATAGTCCAGGCCATGGTTTTCCCAGTTGCAATGTATGGCTGTGAAAGTTGGACCATAAGAAAGGCTGAGCGCAAAAGAATTGAGGCCTTTGAACTATGGTGCTGGAGAAGACTCCTGCGAGTCCCTTGGACTGCAAGGCGTTCAAACCGGTCAGTCCTAGAAGAGATCAACCCCGACTGCTCTTTAGAAGGCCAGATCCTGAAGTTGAAACTCAAATACTTTGGCCACCTAATGAGAAGGAAGGACTCACTGGAGAAGGGCCTAATGCTGGGAAAGATTGAGGGCAATAGAAGAAGGGGACGACAGAGAATGAGATGGCTGGATGGAGTCACTGAAGCAGTAGGTGTGAACTTAAATGGACTCCAGAAGATGGTAGAGGACAGGAAGACCTGGAGGAACGTTGTCCATGGGGTTGCGATGGGTCGGACACGACTTCGCAATTAACAACAACAACATTTACAGAATGCAATAATAACTATCCATCAGACATATGAAGCATACTTGGCAAGGACCTAAGGCTAGTAAGTAACTAATTAGACAGAAATTAGCAGTAACTAATTGCTCAGAAAAAAAGGATTTTCATTAGTGATTGTATTATAAGAGTATATGTTGTGCATACTTATACTAATAATGTATGCTATTGTAACAAAATTATATTTTCCTTTTGTGGGTAGCAGTGTACATAATATTAAAGAAATTGAATTCTTATGGATTGTTGTTATAGTATAAGGATTATAAAACAAGATTACATTTGAATAACCCCACTTAATCTTTTAATCATGAAAATGGAAAATGTTTGAAACTGAAGGTATAATTTGTCCCACTCTTCTTTAAAGCAAATTTATAATTTTATCTATAATCCCCAAATTTTCATCAAAACAAGCATGTACATGGTGTGTGTGTATGCATGTGTACACATGCATATGATTTACTTAAATATTCATTTATTCCTGGTGACTATATTTATATGCTTGAATTAACCATAAAGGTCTGTGATGATAAATATACATTAATATGATGAATCTTCAGTCAGTTAAAAATACAATACAATGGAAACTAATACAGATGGTGAGAGTCAGGAAGAGATTAAGGAAATAAGATAACCATATAGGCAAAAATAGTTGGGTCTGAGAAAGGAAGAACAGAAGCTATAAAAATATATAGGAAATGGCTAGCCAGGAAGTATAGGAAAGAAGGAAACCAGGCCAAATAAGATAAGAAGAGAATGATGAATTGAAATGATGAATTGAATTGAAAAGCAGGAAAAGAGCTTATTGTGGAGACAGAAATAAATATATTGAGTTTAAAAATAACCATAAGAAAATAATTTTTCTTATTCTTATTGTATATGTGAATATGATTTAGTATGTTATCAGGAAATGTGTATAGGCGGACGGAAAGAGTGTAACCTCATACTACCTCAGCCAATGGGGAAAGAGGAGGGCTGTAGCGGCCGGTGAGAGGGATGAATAAAAGAAGGAGATATTTTGGATTAAAACTTTGGAGAGAACCAAGCTTTGAGCTTCTCTCCCCGCTTATTGCAATAAATGAAACAAAAGGCCTTCACTGTGTCTTGGCTGGTTATTGGTCAGGCGAGCTTGCCTCTGGTCACGAAGGAAAGTAGCCAGGAGCACATAACAGCCTTGGGGGCTCGTCCGGGATTTGCATCCGTTCCATCTTTGGCAGCTGGGGATATTCGAAAGGGGAGTGCGCACCTGGGTAAGTTTTTCCCAGCCCTAAAGTTCGGATTGCCCCTGCTTAAACAAGGAGGAATTGGAGATCCCGAGATGAAAGCCAGGACCCAGTGAAAACCTAAGGGAAAGTCGGCCGACCTAAGGAAGGACTTCAACTCAGCCTGACAGGTAAGATA